AGGCAAGGCAGGAGAGGCCAACAGGGTAACAGGAGGGGGGCGCTGCAGTTGACAGGAGGAAGGGTCTTCCGGGGAGGAGCTGCAAAAGTAGGAAGTGCTGGACGGCAATTCTCAGCGAAAACAAATGACACTAATAAAGAAGAAACAAAAGGCAGAACAGATAAAAAATAAAATAAAACAAGCCGTACATTCAGACCGTGCAGCGGCATCAGGGCATAAGTGTGCACAGCAGACGACACTGGGCGGACACAACTGTGCAAGAGCAGGAAGATGGCCTGGCAGGGACATGAAGAGGGCCAGCTTGACAGGTTAGGAGAAAATGGGCCAAAGAGCTGGCACAGGAAGAGGGAGCTGGTCTGAGTTCCAGCTCAGTCAACAGGCTCTGCACTGTGAAGTATTTGAAAGGCACCTCTGACTTTGGCAGGGGAGGGCTACAGTCAGCCAGTAATGTTCTCCTTCTGTCTGTAAAGTCGAGGCCAGGATGCCATCTCTAAACTAGAGACCAGGTGAAACTGTAAGCGACCAAAGCATGACCAGAGAGGAGGGTAGGGGAAGCTGAGATGTCCACAGTAGAAACCTCACGGTTATGCCATGACCGAAAGCATTGTCATGGGATGGTTTGGCAGAACACAGTACAAGACATAGTCTAATATCCAAATATTTAAATATAGCTGACATTTTTCTCTGAAGAATGTAACTTCAAAAATGATACTTGTTACTAAAGAGATGGATAAGTGATTCTAAAAGTCCTTGCCTGTACGAACATAAATGAAAAAAAGAGAGTGAGTACCCCCATCTGATCAACAGCTGCAGCTTCCCCAAAACTAGTAACATGCAGCACATACAGGCGTCTTCCAAACTCACAGCTCAACTGAGCCCCTGGAGCTCACCAAACAGACATAGACCATTTCTTCCAACTGGGCAAGCAGAGTGGAGGTCAGCATCTTGTCTTTCAATGATCAGATCCCAATGACTGTGTCTGTATTTACATACTCTCTGTGGGGTGCATGTGCATGCTTGTCTATGTATGCTGTGTGCAAATGTACACATACAGTTCATGGATCATGAACTGACCCATGTCTCCTACAGACTGAGGTAGTGAATTACCACTGAGCTATTCCCCCTCACCCTCCATGAGTGTTTCCAACTGCACTGAGAACATCTGACATGGGACATGTCCTATCCTAAGCACATTTGAGGTGTAAAACACATTATCATGGAGATAGTTACAGTGTGACTGATTTCTAGAACCCGTTCATCTGAATAGCGATGCTATTGAGCTAGCACGTTGCCATCTTCTCTGTTGCTCAACTGTTTGTAGCAATTACCATTCGACTGTTTGATTCCCAGAATTTGATGCTCAGATATTTAAGAGTGGAATTGTGCAGTTTTTCTCATTCTGTGCCAGGTTCATTTCACCTAAGTTTTCAGGATTAATCCACGTCATGCACAGCTGCCTTCCTTTTAAAGGCTAGATGGGATTTCATTGCATGTATACGTCATCTATTCTTTTCCACTTATCCATCAGGGGACACAATGTTTCTGCATCCTTCCCACTTGGAATAGGGCTGTAGGGAACTAAGGAGGGTTGTTATCACTCTGATATCCTGATTCAGTCAAGCCTTTTGGATAAGCAGTCAAAAGGGCTGGATCCCATGGGAGTTCGTTTTTCATTTTTGCGGTACTTCCACGCCGTTTGAATTCTTACCAACAGTATACAGGGTCGCAGTTTCTCCGTATCCTTTCTTGACTCTCTCCACATCCTCCCCCTAGCCTCTCTGCTTCCCGGACTGCAGCATCCAGCAGCTGGGCAGAGAAGGCCCATCCAAGGCACTGCTACCACAGGCCTGAGCGGTCGTTCTCTGTCTGCTCCTGCCTGCCAGCTGCATCGTGGCTTCACACAGAAGAATGTGAGCCAAGAGAGGGTGAGAATTCACAGCCGGCAGAACCCCTCCCAGAGGGAAAAGGCTTTGTCACCAAAGGAGTTAATGAGCTCTTCTCTGCAGGAAGCCCTAAAGAAAGGAGTGTTCTGAGTGCAGAACGTTCGCTTTACAGTAGGTGGTGTTATTGTTACATGCTCATACAGACAGTGCTAATTAACAATCCTAAAGGCCACATCATTAAATTACCCTCGGCTTAAAGCCCTTGCAATGTTTAACATATCCCAGCAATTCAATTATATCCAAGACACCAGCCTGAATGTCAGGTACTCTTCTGTGGCCACTGAAGTGCAGGCAGCTCTCAGTAGTGAACCTTAGGAGAGCAGGGCACTGGCAAGCCCCTGCCTCTGACATATACGCTAGATGGAAAGCAACAATAAATTGCAAAGAAAAATCTAGAAGTGAAACATGGACCTTACCAATTCTATATGTAAAAACAGGAAGGACAAGATCTTTAAAATCTGACATGAAAAATCAGCTCATTGCCCTCCTATCTGCTCAGGGTTCACTTTCTTCATTTGCTCTGGGTCCTCCTCTCTCCCTTGTGATTTCCAACTGCAGCACACTGTGTCTAGGGGTTGAACTTGGGCAACTTTGTAGCTTGTGGCTGGGCTTTCCCTACCAGTGAGCACCCTATGGAGCACACAGAGATGCTCTGTTCCTTACCCTAGGAAACAGTTCACGTGCAGAATAGAAAGGACTTCCTCCCACGCGTGTGCGCGCGCACACACACACACACACACACACACACACACACACACACACGGAGTGAGGGAGAGGCAGGTCCGACCTGACTTGAACTTCCCTATGAAGAGCAGTCCCATGCATAGGCCCATGGCATCTCAGCATGCTTGGCAGACCACACCGTGACAGAACCTTCAGCTTGGAAGGAGCCAGTGAGGAGGCTGCATGAGGGAAAGGCACAAATGTGGTCCCACTGGTTACCACACAAAGAGATCGTGCCAGTGACCAGCGGGCCAGCTGGGCACTCATCTGCAGGCACAGAAGCAGCAGTGAGGACAGCCTGCCCGAGACTCCCTGAACCCTCTTCCTCAGTCCCCATCTCTGAGAAAAACCTTTCTGCATCCCTCGTTTTTCCAGCACCATCCCAGTGTCCCTTGGGAAGGCCCCTGCTCAAATCACATGGGGTCAAGCAAATATGAATCCCCTTACCGTGTTCTATTCCATGGAACACATCCCAGTAAAGGCTTATGGATGGCGAGAGAGCTGGGCAGGAAACTAAAGGACAGACAAACAGATGACAGACAAATGGACAAAGGAGTGTGTGAAAGAATAAAACACAGCAATCTGCTCTTGCTTCTCTCTGTGGGAACTGAATCCTGACAGCACCAAGCTGGACTCCAGCCCTCCAGAGAGAAGACAGGGGCGGCCACCCATCTCTGTCTAAGACAAACATCACCATCCAGTTACAGCACTCTTGCCACAGACTCAAGAGAACTTCTCTCAGTTTGCCCGGATATGGTCCAGCCATCAGCCAACCAGCCTTCTGTCTGTGGGCTCTGCAATCTCTTAGGCCGTTGCTGAGCGCCTATCTCTATCTACCATGACGTCTTACAAAGCTACGGGTGCGAAGAGAGCTCCAACACAGGCTTTCGGCGTTTCCCTGTGGAGAACAACAGAGCGACTTCCCAGGCTCGCTGTGCAGATTAATGTTTACTGAGCCCCTGACAGCTCCAAATCAATGGTTCTATCTGGAGACTGTCTATAGATTGGCAAGTCCCTTATTGGTGTAGAGACGTTTTGTTATGACTATGAAATGCATGGCTCAGTTGCATCACTCCCGAAAGGATGGCAAAGAAAAGCCAGCGTCCGAGGCGGCATCTGAAGGGAGTGCCATGGGAGCAGACCACAGATGAGCTGGCTGAGGAAGGAGTCTCTGATGTAGCTAGCTTTGAATGACGTCAGCAGACATGCGGAGGGACAGGACTTAGAGAGAGCAGGGAGAGAAATAAGGAGGCTTGGTTTATAGTTAAAGCCTTGCCCCAAGCAGCTGAACGTGAAGAGGCTGCCCAACCCCGTGAGATGAGATATCCTCTGGGACATAGAGTCATGCAATTCCACAGATGCTGAAGTCCCCTCCATCTCCATTCTGCGACAGTGTCCTCTGAGTCTCAGTTTACATCTCCCTTCCCCGCTGAAGCCAGCCTAATCATCTCCACTGAAAGTGAATCCGCCTTTCTTCTGAGGACCCTCAGCGCTTGTGTGAGCTACACACCTGCAGATTTGCTCGTGCCGGCCCCTTATAATAGGATAATAACAAACACTCAAACCGTACTAAGTGTATGGGGAGAGATTGTTTGAGGCAACACACCTGCACACACACAGCCAATTAACTCGTACAACAACCTCACTTTAACTCTGAAGGAGGTGACATCAAAACTCCCATTTAACAGATAAAAAAATGGATGCAGAAAATTTAATTAGCTTGCTCGAGGTCAAACCACTTTGAATACACAAGGCAGTGAGAGCTGCCCTCATTATCTAGCTCTCATTTCACTCCCCAGCACGGAGGCAGTGCTACCCAGAGCACAGAGGCTGCACACGATGGTGGTAAAAGCCTGACTGCATTTGAACCCCAGCTCCAGAAAGCTGTTGGATGTTTTTATGCAGAGCCTGAGAATGCTGAGTGCATGCCCCTCACTGGGCTGTTAGGAGAATCAGATGGATTGCGCTAAGCATTCAGTGTGGCTCTCATAAGCACTGTCGACACAGACCTTGCCACTGTGAATAAGACATGGCTATCTCTTCTCTACACCTCGTGCTTCAAACACAGGAAGTGCTCTTGTGTCCGTGAGTTCTCATTCATGACTAATTCGAGAATGTGGGGGGGTGGAAATGACATAGTCCCATTTCAGCATCGATAAACATTGTAACATGAAGCATGACCATTAATGTCTTAGTCTCGGTCTTCTCAGCTAATAAGCTGGGAATCCCACAGGCCGCTCAGGGAATCCTATCCAAGCAGTGCAGGAGAGGCAGTGTGTAGCATTATTAGGAAAACGGAAGGGACCATCCTAAATTTATCCTGGATGACCATACCTCACGAGGGTCTCTGGAGGTCTCTGCTCATGGTTCTTTCTTCACCTTCCACAAAAGCTGCTTGTAGACGTCGTGATAAGCCAAATAATGTCCTCATAGAGCAGGTCGCATAGGAGCCCTCCTGTTCTTATCAAGCTGGAAAAGCCACAGTCCTGGGACAGAGTGGGCTAAGTCAGCATCTGAGGCCACGGGTGGTCATTGCAAGGCTTCCACCAATTTCCAGTAACAATCAAGTGCCCGCTCAGTCTGTTGAGAAGCAGAAAAAGGTGTGGCAGGTCAGACACTCTACTGATGAGCCCTTTACTTAACCGTTACTTCCCCTTGTAGTTGGACACACCACTTAGGTGTTTCGTGCCCTATTTGATTTCTTCTGGAACTGCCCAGGACTTTTCTAAGGATTGGAGACCCAAAACAACTTCTGGTACATAGAAAGCTCTCAGAGATTTCATGAGCATTACTGTTACCTTCTCCTCCTTGCAAATGTACCTTGTACCTCATCTCATCCTGAATACAGGGAACCCAGAGCCCACTGTAGGGAACTCATGTTCTGAACTTTTCCTGACATCTTCCAACACACACCTCTTTGCCCTCTGACACCCCAGTGCCTGTAGAGACGTGTGCCCCTTACTGTGATGTTTGCTGAAAGATGCTTGCTATGACAGCTCATAAAGACCCAAAGTGCAATCCCTCATCACTTTACCTCTGACCCCTTGTTTCCTCTTCATAAAATAGCATCCCATGGACTTGTATGATAACTAAGACATGGCTTATTCCCTGGATATCCACTAGCATTTGATACCTAACAAGTTATCCCCAAACTGTGATCTATAATAACAATCATTCTTTAGGGTCACAATTCTATGGGCTCACAACTGGCGTGGTCTCAGCTAAGCATGGGCCCTCCAGAGGTGAGGGCATATCTCATAAACATCATTCCCCCTGAATTCAAATGATCAAATAATAATAATAATAATAATCACAAAGCAAGCACAGATTGGAGGGAAAGGGATCCAGCCTTTCGGTGAGAGTTGTTTTGAATTGTTGTAGCACAATCATGTTTTTGTATTCTACTATGAGGGATAAATAAAAACACCTCTACAAAGCAATTCACGTTTCGATCAAATTTTCTAGTTCAGAAATTATTGCAAGACCTCTTACATCCAATGAGAAAATAAATGTTGGGAGCCTTTAGTGTGTCTACTCTGCTAGGTACTGGAGAGAAAGAAAGAGTTCACATTTTATCATGGCAATGTTTCTGGCCTCCGGGTACTTGTAAGCAAAGCAGGAAGCTCTACGGGAGCAAAGACATATTTAAGACCTGATGAAATATCAGCATCTAGCAACAATATAGCTTTCTCAGGGGCAGATACAATTGATCATTGACCATATTCTGATCACAGTGGCTTCTAACTAACAGGGCTGCAGTATGGGCAGGCTGTAGTAGAACAGAGGAAGGCCGGGCAAAGGAGGGAAGGTTTTAGATGGATCTGGAAAGTTGGTCAAAGTTGGGCCAAAGCGCCACAGTGAATGACTCTTTGGTAGCCACTTTGTACTCAGCCTCCCCTCTGGGGAGTTTTATTTTAAAAGAGACTCCCAATAGCCACAGAGTACATGACAAAGCTCTGTTTCCAGTATTGTCTGGGAGAACGAAGGAGATCCTCATTTTTGAAGCCATTTGTAAAAGGAAAGCCTCTCTTTTGCTATGGCACAATAGAAAGACTGTAGGTGTTTTCAGTCCCAAAACTGGCTGTATTATTTTGTTATTCTGTTCAGGGATCACATTCCTGAGTCTTTATCTCTAATTGGGTTCTCCTTGCAGCAGAACATAGACTATCACACTGGACTCTAATATCAGGCTTCTGGCACATATAAGCTAATCGGTGTAGTCCCTGGTCTTTGCCATCTTCATCAGAAATTTTTAAATGTCCACTCTACCTAATGACTAGTAATTGCCATGGTACCAGACCTCCTCTGTAGGAGCCATGCAGCAAAGTTCACACCAGAAGATCCCTGTAGAGCCACCTGTCACAAGAAAGGTACTAAGCGGTTCCTGGTTCAAGCTGTTCTCATTCCTGGAGCTCACCATATGTTCTCATACCTGTACACTGCATCTGTGTGGGTACCTAGATAACCCTCGTCATTATTCCATTTGTCATTTGCTTCTTCCTTCCATCTTCCAACCCAGCTAATTCACACTCCATTCTTCCATTCACCTTCTCCTCCTCTAACACAACATTCCTTTTCTGGCTTCCCATCCCAGCTTCAGTAATCAATCCTCATTACCTCTGTGAATTACACACAAAAAAAACATGGAATTTCAGAAAATTACTGTGGATTAAAGGATGGATGGGAGGATGGATGGATGGATGGATGGATGGATGGATGGATGGACAGATGCCCAATCAGGATATCCCAATCAATCAATAAATTTGCCAAAAGCTCAGTCGAGTACTGTAAAGCTCCTCCTGTAAGACACAAGATTTCTCAAATCAGAGAATGTAGCTAAATTTTCTACTAATGTGTAGGAGATGGTAATTGAGGCTCAGTTTCACAACACTATGACTACAGCATACAAAAATTATGCTCAGCATACACATGCCATTACTCACCAGAAACAACACTTGGGCACCAGAATTAGAAAAAGAATAACAAGGTCCAGAAAAAGGATCCCCTTGGGAGTTCCCACTACAAGTTTGAGATAGGGTCCTTGGAAACTAGGCTCCTGTCTAACTGTCACACACCATGAGATTCCAAACCTTGACACATTTGGGAGGGAAAGTCTTCCTGTGCATGAAAACCAAAGTTCACTCTTCTTAGATCCTTAGCATAAATCATCTTCCTCCTGCCCACGCCAGAGCCAGCAATGGCACCAAAAGACTTCACTTCTCAACTTACAAATATCTACTTTTGCTCTCGTCACCCATAAAGCCTCCATGACTCCCTCCCCACCACCAGCAATTCACCATGTCTTACATGTTTCTCAGATCACCGAAAAATAATTTAATATTTGAGAACCATGAAATTTTTCTTTTAAAAAACCCATGCAACACAAACAAAATCAAGTAATAGATTCAACCTGAAGCCAGGTATCTTGCTGACTTTGATAAAAGAAGCACTGTACAATTTGTACAGTAGTTTAAAGTTCCAAACAAGAAAAGGCCACGCTCACTTCTCGTCATTCCCATTGTTCTCTCGTCTTCATCCACGCGAAGCACGTTTACTGATTGTCATGTATCAGGCCATCTAATGGACCCCTTGACACATAATCCCTGGAGCACAACTGTTTCCCACGGGAAGAAGAAACACTGGCATACAATACACAGTTGTGGTACAGGATGAAAAACACAATAAATGTCCAGAATGGAACACAGACATGAAAAAAGAACAAAAAAGTATCCAAACAAAGGAATAGATTCCAAAAGGTTTCCCTAAGGAAATAGCTAAGGTCAGTATATCTAAGACGGTGGTTTACAGGAAAGCAGAGCCCAGGGTGCTAGCATGGCATGCACAAAGAATGATGGATGAATCAACATTTAGAGAACCACATATCATTCATTCATTGTGAGTTAAGGAACGAGGAAGATGAGGCTACAGAGCTAGATTCAGAAGTTGAAGGGGCGTGGTCAATCGATAATTAACCAGGCCAACTCAATACAAAAAGATTCAGCTTTTAATAAAAGGGGAAAACTTACACGACCAGAGATTCCACGAACAACAGGTAAGCAGGGAACCAAAGAGAGGAAGTGGCAAGGCACTTCGATCTTTTATTTATTTTGTGTGGCCCCAGGGGGACACACCTTAAGCAAAATGTGATTGGCTGAACTCCCCTATCAAGAAGTTACATCATAAAATGCTTTGGTTACTTTGGTTACAAAGTGAGTGTATTTGTACTAAAGGCTTCAAGCCAGCCAGTACAAGGCTGTGCACACGCAATGCCATAATCGAGTGCATTTACAAAACTTACTCTTTTGCAGCACAGAAGATGGGGAGCTGGTAAATGAGACCGGGGGCAGAAGAACCAGCTAGATAGTAACCTTGGTGAGAAATGGCAAAAGCCTAAAGGACCAAGACAATGACTGTAGCACGTGGTTGCGGGTCTTTGGATATTAGCACACACTTGCAGATGTAGCATCCCATCAGATAATACATGTAGCAGTCAGGACTACCAGTGATGTCCTTTGTCCATGTATCTGGTATGAATAAGCCGTGTCTTTAGCAATCAATGTGTTCAGAAGCCTGGGTCATCACACTGTCCCCTTCACTGACTAGCTGTGTTCCTTCAGGTGAGTCTGCTGTTTTCTCTAGGGCTTGTAGTTCTTACTCATAAATTAAATCACAAAGCTTACCTGCTAATTTTAAATAGTGATAGGTCTAATATTATTATTTAGTCAGATGTAGTCTAAAACGTGCATCAGTTATTACCCACTATATCATATAAGGAATGTGTTAGATGCAAATAACAGAAAACCAGTCTAAAACTGGTTCAAGCAAGAGAAAGATAAGAAAATATGTGAGTATTGCTATGGATTGAACAGAATTCATGTTTTGATTTACACCTATTTCAAGAACCTGGGACATTTGGAAGAACAGAATTTAAAGCATTTGAGTTTGATCTTGAGAACCCACATGATTCTGCACATTTGGGGCAGTGCAAACTTTTTATCCGAGCCCAAGGGAGACAGAGACAAGAAAATTCCTGAATCTCAGACTAACCTATTTGGCAAGTTTCAGGCCCTGTCTCTCTCACACACAAAATAAAAGTGGACACAATGCCTGAGGAATGACACCCAAGGTTTTCACATACACAAGCATACACATGCACAGGTACTCTCAAACATATATGTGCACCTGTGCACATGTGCGTGCACGCATTCACACACACACGCACATGCGCACACAAAGAACAGGACTGAGAATCAAGGAGGCATGGTTGTCCTGACTCAGAATGAAGGTCCTGTTAGAAAAAGCAGAGGGAACCCATGCTAGATGCAGAAATCACAGACCTTACTTGCATCGCCTCCGAAAGAGCTCAAAACTCTTTGTTGCCAAGGGGCTCTTTAGAGATTTCTGACCCTGCTGTTGCAGACACCATTTTGGGCTGGGCACTAAGGACAGGTGGTCTTTCTTTCTACTTATATCACAATCATGAAATGGTTATTTCTTGTTGAGGCTTCAGGTGCTCCTGCAAATACTTTTCTAAATGCTACCCAGGGATCATCTGGATCCCATGGAATCCATTTGAGAAG